TGCAAGTCCCCCCGCCCCGTTCAGGCAGTTAGCTAAAATTTCACAGGTCCTGCTGCTGCCAGCGGGGACCCCGCTACAGAGCGTGGGGCCGCTACAGAGGTGCCAGGCAGCGCGCCCCCCTCCCTCTCCCCCAGCCGCCCGCAACACCAGGCTCCAGCACCATCAGGGCAGCGGCGCGCCCTGCCCCGGGCGCCGTCACCCCTCTCAGGGGCCCGCGCCGCCGGGGTCCCCTACCACTGCAGCTTCCCACCGCCACATCTGTGCCCTGGCCCTGAGGGGGCGGCAGCCCCCCCCAACCCCTCCCTCGAAGGGTCTGATACAAACAGTGACCCCTAACCCAAACAAGGCAGCTAGCACAGTTTTCACTAAATAGGAACTCGATGGGGTTCAGATGTTGGGGTTCTTCCAGTGTTCTGTGCCTCTGCTTCCTCACAAGCTTTCTGCGGGTGTTGGACATTTGCGTAGAGACGACAATGCGGGAAGAAAAGTGGCTGGTTATACCGAGGACCCCGGGAATCGGGCCGGGGCTGATACAGCTGCACCCCAAAAGCATAGCAGAGGGGGAGGGGCTCGGAAGCTGCTGCCCGATGGGTAGACTATATCCTGGGAGTCCCTGCGCAGCCCCCCAGGGAGGGGTGGTGTGCACGGTCCCTGTACCCCACTTAAGACTGGGGTACAGGACTCCGCTGGGGCATAATTTATGGGCATAATTTCATTGTCTCTAAGTTCTGCCAAGACTTAGCTGTGAATTCTTCTCACACACCAGTTAAGAACCGAGGAACCCCCAAACCCACACACCCCAAAACCAGACAGTCGTGCTCCGTCGCATTCTTTTCTTGACAGACAACCAGGGGTTCTGGCCCTCGGCAGGAATCCCTTAGGCTGGGTGCTGTGGATGGAGAAAAAGTTTCGATGTGAACTGCAGAAAATAATACACCTCCACGCTGCCTCGGCACTGCCGGCCGGCGGGAGTCAGCCGGGGGAGCAGCTTTACACAAAGGGTTCAGGGATCTACCAGGGAGGGAGTTCTGTTTTTTCCTACAAATGAATGACAAGACAAGCAAGAAGTAAGCGCAGCGTTTGGGGTGCACTTTCCATTCCCACATTTCCTTCTGAAGTTGGCTGCTCCACTCACAGAAACACTGAAGGGGGGCCGTGATTTTCTTGTAAAATGATTGTCACTCACTGTTGGCTTCCTCAGCGCCAGCCCTGCTTTCTGGAACCGAACCCTGTTTCTACGCGAAACTTCAGATAAGGACACTCAGCTGTGTCCAGCTAACATCTTTGACTATCTCATCGCCGAAAGGGAATCGTTCACAAACATTCTTCGACGACGGGATAAGCGTTTCCTCGTCTAGTTCCTGCCGTGAGTCGCGTCCCCAATCTCCTTCTGTGGCTTTCGGAAACAGGCTGTGCTTCTGTGGCAAAGCAGGGATGAGAGAGTCTCCACCGTGACTCTCCTGGTGTGGGTCAGAGAACGTCACGAGTTGTGAGACGGAGTTTTAGGTAGTTCATACCCCCGTGGTATTTTCTGTGAGCTATTTGAATAATCTGATCTTTTGCTTTAGCTACTGTCTGATCTGTTTATCTTTCGTTCTTTCCACTCGTCTTTCCTCTTAATATTCAACGGCGGCCGCCTCTATTTTTGCCGGGTCCTGCCTATGACCCCAAAGGATACAGCGATAGAGTTTGGGGTGAGGAAATAGCCATGTGGGGGACCCCTCGTCTGTCCCCCAACAAAATCAACAATTAGATAGCTACCCACATTAAAACACACACACACACACACACACGCAACAATCTAGGATGCTTAGAAATTCGCTTAAGAAAAATGACAACACAGCACACACACACACACACACACACACACACACACACACACACACACACTTAGACATCCTGAGGGAAAAGCACACGGGAGGTGTCTGCCTGCCTGCACGTCCTCTCACCCCCAGGCCAGCGCTGTTCAGTGCTGCATCCTCCGCTGCAAAGCGAGAATAATGGTGCAAGCAGCTCCCAGCCTTTCAGGACACCCCCAAAAGCTTCACTGTCCACAGCAACAACACCTGAGCGTTGGTGTGGGCCAGCGTGGGCCAGTGCTGGGGTCACCTCTGTGCCCAGGGACCTGCCCTGCAGAGGACGGTTGTCCCTCTGAGGAAACCAGGCTGGCCGGCCGAGCCAGGGGTGCCGGATGCTGCGGGCAAGCTCCTGTCTCTGTCTCCGTTTCATGGTCTCGCCTCTGGCAGGACCCCGCGGCGCCCGTGTGGTGTGCCGGGGCCAGGTCCTAGCCGGCTCTCCTTGCTGGCCGCACCCCGGGGCCCCTGCGGCTGGCGCCTCCAGCTGGGCCCTGCACACGCCAGCGCGTGTCATCACTGACCTCTGCTGCTGCAGCACCGAGCGCACCTGCCCTCCCCCGGGCCTTGCTGCTGACCCCGCGGCCCGTACGTGTCACTGCACTAGACCCTGCCAGCCCTGGCGGCCGCAGAGGTGGCTGGTGACCACAGCCAGGCTGCTCGTAGCCAGAGCCTCTTCCCTCTGGCAAACACCGTTCCTCTGTTTATCCGGAAGAAAATGTAATAAAGGGACCAATCTGGGCCATCTGCTTGCTTTCCCCTGGGGGTTCCATGGGCACAGTGAGCAGAGAGGACCAGAGACAGCTGTTTCATTTCAAATGCGTCACCCCTCCCTGGCAGCTGTCCCGTCCATTCTGTTTCCCTTTACTCAGTGACTCCCTCTTAGAATATTATTTTCCCTGTTTCTCTTCTTGTTCATGTTATCACAGCCATTTTCAGTCATCAGCATCCACAGTGAAAAAAGATAGACTATGCTTGATGACAGTCAGCACTCGGGGGGAGACGCCACAGGCTTATTTTGTGGGGAACACCAGCACTGTTTATCTGGCCAAGAAATAAATCCTCTTCCCAAACCCAGAGGGACTGGTCATCTTGTGACTGAACTAACCTGATGTCTAAATTGGTAAATGGCAAAAGTGGTGGTCAGCGGTCAGCACAGCTGGTGAAGGAATTAGATAACAGAGAGGGGAAGTTACCTACAACCTGATGATCATGTGTTTTAAGTTGATTGCACCACTTTTATTTCTGAAATTGAAGCATTGTAAGTAGGTTCTATATTTTTTACTGCAGGTTTCCAAAGTGCAGACTTTAACCTTGGATATTCACTATATTTACTTTTATCCTGGTAGATCTAAAAGAAGGAAAAACTAGGCATTTCTGATGTTGCAAGGGTTGATCCTTTATTTAAAAGAATGTTTACCGTGGCTGGAAAGGGGCCCAGTATCTACTATGCTGCCAGAAGTAGCAAAACTATATTTTAAATTAATGAATAGGTATTTTATTTCATCATGTCTTCCTGTCTTAATTGGATGGTTAATTTTTTTAAAGATTTATTTGTGCATACAGAACTGGGGTACAGGTCAGAGGTGCAGGGGGGCCGAGAGCATTCACCAGAGACAGAGTGGGGAGCAGGATAGGCTGACTGATGAACAGTGCTGGGGGGAGCAGCGGGCGGGTCAGGGGAGGTCTGCCTCGCCATGTGGGTCACCTCAGGGCGGGGACTGAACTCATGCTGCAGTGGCTTTAGCTTCTTAGTGCTGCACTTTAACCTGCTGCGCCACCAGGGAGGGCTCAGATGATTAATTTTGATAGCATAATGGCTCCTCTTAATATTCACATCCTAATTGCTGGAACCTTCGACTAGGCTAGGGAACCTGTGTAGGACAGTGAGGTTGTTTTTACATAGAATTACAGATGCTGGTCAGATGGGCATAAAAAGGGGCTCTGTGGTGGCTTCGGTGTGGGCCCAGTTTAGTCAACACAGGGACTTTAGAGGCGGCGAGGAAGGAAGGCAGCAAAGTCGGTCTGGGGGACGCGGAATGAGAAAGTCACAATCGGGAGCCGGTGTCAAGCTGAGCGAGGCTGTAAGCCACGGTGTGGAAGAGCAGAGAAGGAAACTGGTTTCCTCTGAGTTTTCCTCAGATAGCTCACTCCTCTCGGTACCTTGATGTCGTCTCATGAGACCCCTCTCGGACCTCTAGTCTCTAAATATGCGAGATAATATATTTGTGTTTTTTCAGCCACTACAGTTGTAGTTTTTTGTTTTGCAGCTTTAGAGAACTAATGTATTGACATTGTTTGATTATCAAACACTTTTTAAACCTCAGATTCTCCTGCGAAACTAAGTTCGGTGATGTTGTTTTGCTTCAGTACTGTCACTGGAGATAACTTGGGTAAGGTCTCGCTTTCATTTTTATGCTCATGATAAAAATTAAATTACAAATGTTCACATATTTTCAAAGTGTTGCATCAAGGATGTTCTTGAAATATTTTGTTCAGCATTTTGCAAGAATTTGTGTAAGTTTACAAAGATTACATTTTCCTCCCTTAGCTTCAGATGGGTTTTGTTGGAGTTGGAGATTTTAAATTGGGATGATATTGAATTATGGCATAATATATTCAGTGACTGTGTAACAATTTCAGTTCATTGTTTCTAATAGACATTCCTTTCTCTTTCTGGTGTCCTGAGGGGTTTTGCAGGGTAGAGCCTTCATTCTCAGAAGTCTTACAGCTTACCCAGAAGGATCAGTGACATGCATCTGGAAAATTCCATGGAACCTCAGAGGTTCTAGAGACACGGATATTTGAAATCTTATTTGCCAATTTTTTACCTTATAATATACAGCTAAAAGAAAGACTAAATAATACTGACAGTTTTTGCTGAAGCCTATTTGTGACAATCTAAGTTTCTTGGGATATATTCTTCCTTCCCTTCCTCCCTTCCTCCTTCCCTCCTTCCCTCCATTATTTCACATGGTTCTTCATTTTTATATGATGCACGCGTTATCGCCTTGGGTGTAGTCCCTGTGAATTCCCACCACCAATACACCCCTGCACCATCACCATAGTCCCTTGGGCTCTTCCCACACCTGTTTTAACCCCATCCCCTCCCCCACTGCAGAGTATCTCTGTTTTAGAGTTGCCTGTGATTTTGGTTTTTACTTTATTAGAATTAACTGCCCCCATCCCTATTTGGATCCCTCCATTCCTGCTGGGAGTGAAGCCATATTGAGGTAACATTGATTTACAGCCTGCATAAGATTCAGGGGAATAAGTTACTGTTGTGAAAGTATTTACATATTTAGTGTGACTTGAAAGCCAGGTCATATTTATGCGGCTGCAGCTATGAGCTTACCAGAGAGCCTCTGGCTGTCTGTTGACTCCAAGTGTTTTGTCTGTGCACACTTCCGGGCATCAGCTCACCCGGATTCTGACCTCACGGCCCCTGATTGGTGCCCTCTGCCCATATAACATCGGGGTGTCCAGTGGTGGAGTCAGATCGCCTCACCCACCGGCTCTGCGCTGTCCCGCCTGCGCTCTGCCCTTCCGCTGACCACCATGAAGCTCCTGGCTGTCCTGCTGCTCGTGGCAGTGTCCACTGCCCTGGTCTCCGGCCGTAAGTACAGAGTCTGACCGAAACAGGGTGCCACCGGTCCTGCCCGGGAAACAGCGGCCGGGGTGTGGATTCCCTGTGGACGTGCGTTTGGGGGGTCCCAGAGGCAGGCTCCTCCTGGCTCCCCACGCCTGCTCCCTCACCACGGGGACAGACCGCCCGAGACTGGCCTGACCCCATCCTGGGGCTGTTCCAAGCCAGTCAACTCTCCACTCGCTTTAAGTGTTGATGCTCTGCATCTCCCCGCAGGCTTCTGCCTTATCCTATTTATTCTTTCTCTCCTCCAGAGAGCACACGAGCTCCAAGTGATTACAGCTCTGGTGAGTCTACTCCTCCTGTTTGCGTGATGATGATTTTCCCACTTCACCACTGGTGGGGACTGGTGATAGTGAATTCTTGGGAAAAGCCTGGGAAAACCAAAGTCATGATAACATTCATGACTTGTCAGTAAGTGTCAGTAAGATATGCTCGAGAAGGCCATCAAATATGTGAAATAACCACACACTTCGCTACTTAATGTGTTTTGTGAGTTTTATATCATCAGTGCCTTTTTCCCTCTAAATTTTTACACCAAAGACAAAGCTTTCTAATGTGAAACCTGCGATCTTTCACAGCTCTGTCTCTCCCTCCAGCCTCCCCCCCCCCGCAGGCTTCTGCCTTATCCTATTTATACTTTCTCTCCTCCAGAGATCACAGAAGATGCAGATTTTTCCAACTCTGGTGAGTCTACTCCTCCTGTTTGCGTGATGATGATTTTCCCACTTCACCGCTGGTGGAGACTGGTGATAGTGAATTCTTAGGAAAAGCCTGGGAAAACCAAAGTCATGATAACATTCATGACTTGTCAGTAAGTGTCAGTAAGATATGATCGAGAAGGCCATCAATATCAAATATGTGAAATAACCACACACTTCGCTACTTAATGTGTTTTGTGAGTTTTATATCATCAGTGCCTTTTTCCCTCTAAATTTTTACACCAAAGACAAAGCTTTCTAATGTGAAACCTGCGATCTTTCACAGCTCTGTCTCTCCCTCCACCCCCACGTCCCCCGCAGGCTTCTGCCTTATCCTATTTATTCTTTCTCTCCTCCAGAGAGCACACGAGCTCCAGGTGATTACAGCTCTGGTGAGTCTACTCCTCCTGTTTGCGTGATGATGATTTTCCCACTTCACCGCTGGTGGGGACTGGTGATAGTGAATTCTTGGGAAAAGCCTGGGAAAACCAAAGTCATGATAACAAGTCATTTCAAACATAAAAAACCTGCTTATTTCCTATAATTTTGGGGTTGGTTATAAATGTTCTCCTGCAGAAAGGACAGGGCATGTGACTAGTTGTATCTGGGAATTTGCTTGTAATGTTTCTCTGACGAATAGCAGGGCTGAGTAGATCAACAAAGACACATGAAAGCCCAGTTGGTGCCAAAATGAAGGCATCACTGTCGTTCCTCAATGGGAAATGACCCGAGGACTTTGGACCACATGGGTGTCTTGACGCCAAATTGCAATGTAGGAGCCTCAGTGTAAGAAGGACCCAGGTTTGCTCTTTGTCAAGAGGAGGTTTTAGGGCCTTTCCGCACGATGGCCCCCTACAGTACATTCCAGGGCAAGGGTGTGTGAGCGTGTGAGCGTGAGTGTGAGTGTGTGTGTGTCTTATTTCTAGGCTGACCTTTGTCTTCTCTTCTGAAACACAATATTCTGGAGCAAAACCCCTCGTCAGTCTGGGCGTCTCCAGTGTCCAGCACCTTCCGTGAGGTGTGTGTCTGGCCCAGGCAGGTGTGATGTGTGCGTCTGCTTCGTCCACAGCATGGGGACAGGCGTCCCTGACACACAGGTCACTGCTGCAGTGACCCATGTACTGGGTCCATGGGGTCCGTTTCTGGACATTTTGTTCCCTTTCCTGAGGAGCCCAGTGTGCAGAGTGTGGTGACCGGCCTGTCCTCTACCGAGGAGCATTCAGCTGGGAACGTGGCCGTGACGCCTGCTGGCTGCCAGTAGCTCTGCTGTCAGGCGCAGGGGTCACTCCAAACCCGAAGAGGGTGATGGACGGGGCATGGGCTCATCACGGTCATTCCCAGAACGCCCCACTCTCCCCTTCTGTCTAACTGTTGCAATAGATGGCGTTTACACTGATACATCTGGTGAGATCAATATGACCTCCACAGGCCAGGAGCTGAGGGCAGAGATTTAATATTTCAAATCAAGAGACACTATTACACAGTCTGAGGACAGCTACTCCTGTCTCCCCGCTGCTCCCTCAGCAGTGGGCTCCAGCAGATCCGCCTGCTCTGCTCCCCACTGTCTCCGATGAACCCGCTCACCACCGGCACCTCTGGTCTGCACCTTTTTCTTCTTTAAACATAAAATCAGAGGCGGCGGCTGGACGGTGCCACAGAATTTGGAAAGCCGACGGGCACGGGCCTCCTCCTGCTCTCCTGCTCCAGCCTCCTGGCCCGTCCGGTGCAGGTCCTCGTTGTTTGCGCCCCGAGAGGGACACTGACCCCCCGGCACTGCCCGCGCCGTCATTCTGCAGCGCTGTCCCTGCCTACTCCGAGCCTTACAGCCATTCTCCATCATCTTTAGAATGTTCTGGATTTCTAAATCTTCTTTCCTCCTGCAGGTTACTTCAGCAAGGTATTTTCTGGCACTCCTTAAGGCGCTGCACAGTGAGCGAAACAGAATCGGCCTTGACCTTCTGCATTGGATCATCGGCTGGGGCCAGAATGTCACCTGACTTGATCACCCAGTAGCACCAAATCTGCCTAACGCCCTGTGCCCAGTAGTTTATGTGATCTCAGTGATTCAATAAAAATGAGCATCATCAACATCGGGCTTCTTTGTTGGGTTGGTGGGGTGACGCAATGTTTCTGTTCTCTAAGCTCCCTGTTACTGCGAGAAGTGGTGGGAACATCTGAACTGGCCTCACTGCTGGGAAATAATGTTCCCTTCTCGGACACAAGCTCACAAACACCAACATGGCAGTCATTCCATGATGACATGAAATGAGGTTCAAAAAAGTTTGAGTGCATTATTTGTTTCAGTGTAGCCGAAGTCAAAAGTGGCGTGCAGACCTCAGAGCTGGGGCCGGCCTTCCCTCCTGTGTGTGAGGCACAGTGAGTGCTTGCTGCTTTATGGTCAGTCACAGCGTTGGTCCTGCTGCTTTATGGTCAGTCACAGCGTTGGTCCCTGCTGCTGTAAATTGCCTAGGGCAAGTCAGACTGGCTCAGCAAGTGTCTGAGCCTTAGACTCCAGTTCCCTAAGCACTCTGCCCCCTTCCCCCACTTTAATGAGGAACCAGCACAACCTTTACCCTTACTGTTTTGTTTCTGACACTGTATTATCTGTTTACTTATATTTTACCTCCTTGTTCATTTCGGCACAGTATCTGTGGTCTCCCTCACGTGTAGCCTCATAAGATTCCCACCACCGATACCAGTCACCATAGACCCTTGTGCTCTCCTCCTCGAGGTTTGACCCTTCTCCCTCCCCCGGGTCAATAAAGGTTTACAAAAGAAGGGGAAATGAAGAAGCGAATAACTCAGGGAGAAAGAGGGAGAGTGATGAATGTGTCCCACCAATCTGCGGAGTTGGACTCCCTGAGAGCGGCCAAAGCCCAGAGCCCAGAGCCCCGAGCCCCTCAAGGCTCACGTGGGCAGGACATACGGGACCTGGCTGGCAACTCCACCCCCAGTTCCCAGCATCCCCCTCGGTGATGATGGCACTATGGGATTTGTAGTTCCCGATCTTGATCTAGAGTGGGGCTGGGGCCCACAAAATCTGTGTCTGTGGATTTTGATCCCCACATCACCAGCAACAAACTGAGCAACACAAAACTGAAGAAGAGCCACTTGACGTTACGGATCTGATTCCAACAATTTAGCCTGAATTTTGATTTGCATTTTATCCCTTATCTTTATTTTTAAGCAATGCTGGAAAGCCAATAAATAACAGCAAAGGACTTGCAAAGATTAAAGACAAGGAAGCTGTCTCCTCTGATAGCTGCAGCTGTACCTTCCCGGAAACAGGATTTAGGGAGTGAACAGCTCAGGTGGACTTGATGCTGCTAGGAGACGTGCTCACCGCTGCCCTTCAGGGTGTCCACCCAGCCTGAGCACAGTTTTCACAGAATGTTTTCACTGAGAGTTTACACTTATTGTCTCAGAGATTGTAAATACGTAACATATTTACATGTCAATGGCACAGCTGTTCATGTTCATACCCATTAGGAACAAGTAAGTACATGTGGTGACAGCCGCTTCCTCGGGCAAACACTCACCACAGAAGCAAGACCTTGAGCGTCCACTGGGTCACTAAAGGCTAGCTGGAACTTTCTCGGGTCCAGGGATACAGAGCACTGGGTGGCCAGGGATGAAAGGATCACGGTCAGATAATTAGAGTGACAAAGCGTCGTTTGGGAAGTCTATGTGTACAGACCTCGATGAATGGACACGATGTTTCACAGTGTCTCACGCGATCACTGCCCAAAAGCTGAACTTGGCACAAAAGACTGTAAACAATCTAGTAACTGGGATGACCTTCTGCGGGCGCAGCGTCAGCCTCTTCCTGCAGCCACCCCCGCCACAGCTGAGTGCCCTCCAGGGCACCAAGGCCGCAGTGCCAGAGGCTGACGCTGTGCGTCACCTCAGCAACGTGGACGTCCACTCACCATGTCCGACCGCGCTGAGACGACTGGGGACTGCCCGGCCATTCTGTATCAGACACAGATCAAGCAACAGTCATTCCAGGTCCAGGTTACCTTGCTAATTTCTCCAAAGGAAAGTCCCGTAGCCTTCAGGCCACAGCAGGTAAAACTGAAAAGGAGTTCCAATTAAACGTGTCTGTGGGCGACGTGTTTCTGGAATGGTTGCTGGTGGCTGTGACCATTCTCGATCTCTCTTTTCCCAAAGTAGCTTTGGGCATCCGTCCTCTCCTTGTGAAGTGCCTGGTGGAATAATCTCATTTCTGGCTTTTCTAGTATGGGTTGTCAAATGGGAACGAGTCCAGGCATCTTCTCCAGTGAAAAGGTCAATGCTTAATGTTATCTAAAGCCGGGCACCGGGGGTCTCTGTCCCCCAGCAGAGATCCGCGTGCCCTGGCGTGACAGGTGCTTCAGCCTACGCTTGTGTAGCTGGGCAGGTTTTACAATCGGCCTCCAGCGAGTGGACATTAACTGTGGACTAGTGAAATTCACATGCACAGCTTTTTCTATGGCGGACCCCACTACCTGGCTCAGAGGTAACAGGAGGCACGCAGAGAGCTAGACCCGCGCTTCCCCACTGCTTGCTGACACCTTCGCTTTGTCCTGATGACTGAAGACTCACAGCTTCATTTTGCATCAGTTTCAAGGGTCCCCAGGACCGGTGCCCCCAGGTGCCTCCCAGCTATGTAAAGAGCTCCCCAGTCACACGTCATCCGTGCGCACTTGAATGCACTCAAGCAGCTGCCTCCCGCCAGCTCCCCGTGTCACCTTCTGCTGAGAGGGCCCCCTGAGGGTGCTCGCCGGAAAGACTCAAGCTTCGCAACCCAGCACTGTGGCCCAGAAGGCAGGCCAGTGCCTGGCGTAAGATCCACGGGAAGTCGCTCTCAGCTCCCTGTCGAGGGCTCTGAGCTTTGTGCATCTCTCACTTGGAGGGCAGCTCCCGTGTGCAAGCGCCCTGCACTGCGAGGACCACCACAGAGGTTGCTCTCGGCGCTGGGGCATTTCCCACACCGCCCACACCCTGAAGCCTCTCAGCCGCCAGCACCCTGGCTTCTCCAGCCGCCCGTGAGAGGCCCGGCAGGCCATCACGCAGGCCTTGGCCTTCGCTGGCAGCTGCAGAGTCCAAGTTGGCTTTCCGGCCCTGGTCGGTTAGGCCTTGGGGGTAACTGGACTGACTGCGTGGCGCACGGGCTGCCGGAGCACCAGGACAGCCGGCTTCCAGGAGCTGCGGGTCAGCCAGGCCAACGGCCGCTGAGCGCCAAACCCGGCACCTGCTGAGTATTTTCAGAGACGGGGGTGTTCAAGGGCTCGCGGTTTTGTATGAGTCCCTAGGGCGCCTTGGGCAGGGCTTCGACCAAGAGTCTCAGCGTGGGCCCGAGGTCCTGACCGGGTGGAAAGAGACCTCCAGCAACGGGTGGACGAGACTCCAGGTTCTCTTCAAAGGGCAGGGACACAGGTTTGCTCCTTCCTCATGCCGACTTCCGCGAGGCGCCGCGCTGCCACCCCACGGCCGACCCCTCCCAGTCACGGCGGGCCCAGAGGGGGAGCGCCACCCCCCCACCC